ATAATTTCCTAGCATGTTAACCAGTTTAAAAAAAAAAAAAAAAAGCCTCCTGGAAGAGAAGAGGTGAAAAGACCCATCAGCCAATGAGAACTGAGCTCTGTCTGCGTGCCCTCCTGTGAATAGTGTGTATAAACAGACTGAGGACACACACACACACACACACACAATCCATGCACACACCACTATGATGAAGATTACTATGATGTTTATGATAATTAAGAATAACATAATCTGTTATTCACCTCAATATAGAAAAAAGCTGAGAGAAACTGTCATATTAATGTGTGTGTGTTAGTGACACTGTCCTGTGTGCGTTTTTCCACGGACACTTAGGTGGTGTCCTGGTGCAGCTTTGCCATGACAAATCGTTGTGTTTATGGTGGCACCTACTTTTCCCGTCCTTTTAGCGAACCAGAGCTATCTCCGCCCTCCCCCTCCTTCCTCCCCCAAAATAAATTTGAGTATTAACACAAAATTAACATTCATTCAGCTAACTTTCTCCAAGCTGTACACTCGACATATTTGGTTTCACTTTATTACAAACTGTTAAAAACGTGTAGCACAACAAAATAAGCCAATTTAGACTGTTCATCTGTGTGACTACAAGGTTAGCACTAGAGCTAACTACCTTGGAGTAATGTGAAAACACTCCCTTTCTGCCAACAGTGTAACTTTTTCTGAAAAGTGGCAGTTTAAAGGTAATTAAAGGCTCAAATTCAACTGATTTTGTGCTTTATTAACCAAGCACAGTATTTTCAACACTGACATGTCCAACTCTGCAGAACGGTCTCACCATAAATAAATTCAGTGGCTGATCAAAAGCTCCAGAACTGCTACTAAATGGACCTTGTGTGAGCAAATGATGAGCAGTGGTGCAGTGTTAAGTGAAGTAGCCAGTGTGTGATGCATTTAATGCTGCATTCATTTCATGTGGGATTTACCGCAATTTCCATTTCTCGACATATGAAGTGTTTATGACAACATCCGAGACAAACATGGGCTCCACAAGTCCTTCTTCAAGGTATCTAAATTTAACCATGCACAGTATTTTTAAATCTCACTCAACCAACCCAGCATCTCTTCAGCTGTTTGATGATATGAACAATCTCAAGTCCGGATCTTTAGGATCCCACATAACATGAACACAGCATAAGTCTGGTGAATAATGCTCAGAATGGATGACACCTTGTTCCCTTTTCAGGAATGATTTTATGTTTTCAACACATTAATATTGTGACTGGGAATGCAAGAAAAGAGACAAAAAAAGAAAATCAATACCAGTGGTGTTCAACACAAGTCATCTTGTGAACTCAGAGTGTACCAGAAGGGCTTAGGATGGAAGATAATGCACTGTGAAGGGTGCAAGGTGGAATAAAGTGCACAGATTTTAGTGAGAAACTGGCACACCATGGTTTAAAATGTTAAGTAGTGCTCTACTAAGGGTTTCAGCTCAAGCATAGTGGACAATGAAGGGCGTAGGAGGGAAGGTAGTTTAAGCAGCGTTTAAGGTGGAAACGCTGTGGAGGGGCTAAGGAGGGAGGGAGTGCACTGTGGAGGATGCAGCACAGAATGCAGTGCACTACAACAAGTTTAGAGTAGTTTATTATTACAGGTTAAAGATGGAGAACAGTGCACCACAGAGGGCGTAGGGTGCCGTTTGAGATGCAGCCTCGTTGCCAGTTGGCAAGCTCAACTAATCGATCAAACAGTGTTATTTGTACAGAACTAAACAGCTGCTGACTGACTGCTAACAGCTCTCTGTCATCGTTTGTAATAAATTTAATTTTTCATCCAAAACTATCTATACGTGTTTTTATTTTTTCACTATTTGCATGTGGATGACAGACACCACAGATCCTGTTTTGTCATCAGGGGCTTCATTTTCCAGAATACACTGATTCATCAATACATGAACTGGTCATATTAGGACTGTAACTGACAATTATTTTACAAATGATTAAATGTTTTATTGTCAGAAAATAGTGGAAAATCAGTTTCCCAAAGTTAAAAATGACTCGAACGTCTTTTGTCTGAAACTTTAAAATATTCAGTTTACAATTAGAGACAATTAAAGAAACCTGAAAAAGGGTGAGGGGCAGGGGTTAGTGTAGAAGCCTGACGCAGGTCATTTTACATGCAGGACCCAGAGGATTTATCAAAGTTGTCAAAATAGTTGGCAATCAATTTTCTTTCAATTGACTAACTGATCAATTAGCAGTTCAAGATTATGATTGAAACCGGGCCATAAATGTCATAATCTGAAGGAAAAGGCCATTTGGCCTTTAACTTCATACATTTTCAGAGGGCACAAATATAATGTAGCAGTCTTTTCACGAAATAAAATAAAACATTAATGCAGCAGCTAGCCCGACAGGATTTGTTGTTATGTGTTTTGTCAGTTCCATTTCCGCCCGTGCCATTTCTTTAAACGGGAAAACTTAAATGCTGTCACACATCAGCTCTTAAGGACAGACGGTGACCTGGCGACAGGGTCACGGACGCCCACGGCTCATTGACCTGCTGTAGATCTTTTACAGTTAGAATTGAATGTGCAGTGTTCGGTGTGTGTGCAAATGCCGTTACTCTGAGGTAAACATGTGACTAAATGGCTAATTTCAAGTTCATGTAGACTACTTTATCTAGCGTTAGCGAGAATTTAATGTTGGTGGTATGCAAGTACGTGAGTTATATTGAGATTAGTTTAAATTATTGTGGGGTGACGGTGGTGCGGCGGGTAGAGCAGTGGCCTCCCAACCGCAAGGTTGAAGCTTTGAATCTCGGTGCCTGCACATGTCGTCGTATTTTGGGCAAGACACTGAACCCCAAAGTTGCCCGTGATGGTGGCGCGTATGCACGCAGCGGCCTGGGGCCCTTGGCTCCAAACAAAATTTCGTTCTACGTGTTATATTGACAGTAAAACAAAGATTTTTCTTTTTGTTAAAAATCAAATTTGCATTGTCTGTTTATAACTTGAGGGTAAACAACAGTGAATGTTCCTTATAGGCTTGATGGCGATGTACCCAGCAGAGGGACGACATTAGCAGTCTGGCCTTTTCTTATGACTTGCGCCCCCCAGTAATTCAGAGACTGCTATTATTTCAACATGTGGTGAAATGACAGCTTGTATTTAAAATTTTTCCCCCTCATTTTCTCTAACTTGGAACCATTCTGCATAATGAAGCAAACCTATCAAAACCAACATAATGGGTTGAAATTATAGAACACCATCTTGCTTTAAAGTCGAGCCTTTTCCATTTCCCCCTTAGGCAATCCTTAACCAGACGTAATTTTGTGACCATCAGCACAGATTATTAATTTCAATTTCACAGTATATTGAGTGTTATGCATTAAAAGAAAGATGCATAACTCAGTCTTGGCACTGTTGATCTTTTAGAGATGTGCAGCAACAACAAATGAAAGACACTGGATTAAAACTGTTTATGTCAGGAAGGCTGAAATTTCAGTAAGAGCTGACGGTTATTGCCTTAAATGACTTCTGTTGTGATCTGGCGCTAATTAGAAAATAAAATTAAATTGACCTTCAAATAATTGTGTGGATGTGGATTAATAGTTGTGTGAATGCTGAGTCAGCATTATCTGGTGCCTAAAATCTGCACACCTGTGTTTGTCTGCCCAATCCCAACAACTAGGGTTTTATATTGTTAAATCTGTTATTTCACTAAGGTTGAGTAGAAATAGGAAAAAAGCCTTTGTAAATACATACACAATATATATTTTTTAAGAAAGAATCCACATATAAAATGAGGTATTTGATGCTATACACATATGTTTATCATAAGCATTTACGAAGTGTTAAAACATATAGTAAAACATCACTACAAATAAAATGTATTCTAAAAATTTAATCCAGTTAAAAACAAACAAACGGCTTCAGGCACTCAGGTTGCACTAATCTATTCCTTATGTGGATCGCTGCTTTGCTCTTTTTGTAATGATGCCAGAGGGTTCTCCAGGACCCTCAGGTCCCCGTTTCATTGGCCTGTTTGGTGTAGACTCTAGATGAACAATAAAGACCAATTAAAAAACAAAAGTACTAAAGATTAAAAATCCTGAGATTTATTGTCTGCCTTTAATCCCAGGTCAAAAAAACATACCAAGCTGTCTCTCAATCGTCTCCAGCTGCATCTTTTTCTGTTCCATGTCTTGTTTCTTTGCCTGTTCTTCAGGAGAATTCATTAGTTTTATGTGATCTTCACGCTCCTTCTTTGCCTCATTCCTCTTCTGCAGAATTGATTGATACTCGTGGAGCAGGTCTGTCAAGCAAAACAGGACACATTAAAGCACAATTTGTTTGAACAGCATCACAAAAATAAGCTTCAAAATATGACTTTGACAGACGTAACCTATTTGTTCCTTAAGAGCATTGTAATGATCAGGGAGGGGGGCACCAAACACTTTAAGTGCAGCAATAGGTGGCGCTTTATTGTGTCTGCCTCCAAACTTGCCCTTGGAACTGACTCTGTCCCCTTGCCTGGTCAGAATGGTGGGGCAAGATATATGGTTCTGCACCAACTGTAAACAACAGCACATTTAGAGGGACAATAACCACCAGTTCATTATTTTTTAACTTTATTGTTAATACAGCTCTAGCAGCAAGCATCACTCACCTTTGCTCTGTAGCTATTTGCTGAGACCAGGTCATCCATTAGAATAGTATCACCCAGTATATTTTTAAACACTGCAAAAGAAGCACCAGCAGAACACTTTCAGACTTGTAGTAAGAAATGTAAACATTGGCACATTTAGCAGCTACTGAATGATATAAATCTGTCACATTTAACCATACACTGTCTCTGAATATATAGACAGAACAAACTTTTAACAAAGTTACTACAGAAAACTCACAACAAAGTAATTTTAATGTGGGGAAAGAGCCCGTTTCTGCTGCTGTGACGACACCCCCACTGAGGAACCCCTCAAGCCCTGAGACACTGGTTCCCAGGTGGAACCGTTTACCCAAAACTCTACAGGGGTGGTGGGGCCATGAAGAAAACACCCCAACAAACTGTAAACACAGAGACCTGGGAAGTTTCTAGAAAACCACAACAACCCTGAAGTTGTACTATAAATCTGCAAGGAAAAACAACCAGGAAATGTTACACAGCAGGGGAAATACATCCAAGGCAGCTCACCGGTCTTACAGATCTCCTGGTTGTGAGGGTAAGTCAGTAGCTCTCTAGCATAGACAGGATTCCCAGGGGGATCAAAGAGCGGGCGACCATTCCTTATGTGAGGCAGCGGTCTGCAAGCAATTCAAATGTTAGCCGAGGCTACAGAAATGATCTGAAACTTTGTTCCTGAAGTAGCTAAATCAAACCATGTCTTTGTTTTTAAAGGACCATACTAGTGTTTTAGAAAGATTGATCTCCTTACCAAAAATATAGCATGCACACCATAGTTTACATTTTTGCTGATTTTTTTCAAATTCATGACAAAGTTCATGTGTAGGTGTGTTTTTCCTACCGTTCCATGCAGTCATTGACAACCATCAACTTCTGCATGTTTTGAAAATTAATCCACAGACTCATTGAACTTGCTTGTGATTCGCCACAGTCAACATCAAGCCTGCATTATTTTTTGCCAGAGTTACATTGGCCTGCACCTAATAATATCACCATTATTGATTAATCCTCATATTATTTTCTTGATTAATCAAATAGGTATTAGTTTAAAAAATGTCAAAGGACATCACATTCCCAGAGAACAAGGTGACATCTTCAGATATCTCGTTTTGTCCACCCAACAGCCCACATCTAGTTTTATTGGACATTTAAATTACTGTGGTAAAAAACAGAGAAAATCAGAGCAGGAACAAACACGTTTGGCACTTTTGCTTCAAAAATGATGTGAACAATTAATCTATTTCTGATCCATTTCCTATTCATTCAGTAGTGGATTATTT